CGTAGTATGCTATTTTCTGCCAAGCGCCCAGTATTTTCTGCCCAGAAGATGCCGAAGGCTATCAATCCTGCTGCACCGTCGTCTGCCAGCTTAAGATGTTAAAAATAGATTTGTTCTGTATTCATTTGCTTCCCCCTCCCTCCGTGAAATCAACAGCCTGCTAAACCCAGTTTTGAGTTTAATCTTTTGGGGGGGGGGCATTCTGTGTGACAGTTTGTGTTTCTCCCTGATGCACAGCCACCTTTGTTGATTTTAATTCCCTGTACTTGTACGCCATGTCGTCACTCGCCCCTCCCTCCCTCAGATACTAGTTTTGCGCCTTTTTTCAGACCAGACGCCATAGCGCTGGGATCACGGAGCCCGCTCAGATCACCGTGGCAATTATGAGCACTATGAACACCACGCGCATTGTCCTGGAGTATATGCAGAGCCAGGACATGCCAAAGCAAAACCAGGACCAGCTGAGGAGGCGATTGCAGCACGGCGACGAGAGTGATGAGGAAACTGATATGGACATAGACCTCTTACAAAGTACAGGGCCCAGCAATGTGCAAATCATGGTGTTACTGGGGCAGGTTCATGCCGTGGAACGCCGATTCTGGGCCCGGGAAACAAGCACAGACTGGTGGGACCGCATCGTGCTGCAGGTGTGGGACGATTCCCAGTGGCTGCGAAACTTTCGCATGCGTAAGGGCACTCTCATGGAACTTTGTGACTTGCTTTCCCCTGCCCTGAAGCGCCAGAATACCAGGATGAGAGCAGCCCTCACAGTTGAGAAGTGAGTGGCGATAGCCCTGTGGAAGCTTGCAACGCCAGACAGCTACCGGTCAGTGGGGAATCAATTTGGAGTGGGCAAATCTACTGTGGGGGCTGCTGTGATCCAAGTTGCCAGGGCAATGAAAGACCTGGTGATATCAAGAGTAGTGACTCTGGGCAACGTGCAGGCCATAGTGGATGGCTTTGCTGCAATGGGATTCCCAAACTGTGGTGGGGCGATAGACGGAACCCATATCCCTATCTTGGCACCGGAGCACCAAGCCACCGAGTACATAAACCGCAAGGGGTACTTTTCAATGTTGCTGCAAGCCCTGGTGGATCACAGGGGACGTTTCACCAACATCAACGTGGGATGGCCGGGAAAGGTACATGATACTCGCGTCTTCAGGCACTCTGGTCTGTTTCGAAAGCTGGAGGAAGGGACTTTCTTCCCGGACCAGAAAATAACCGTTGGGGACGTTGAAATGCTTATAGTTATCCTTGGGGACCCAGCCTACCCCTTAATGCCATGGCTCATGAAGCCGTACACAGGCAGCCTGGACAGTAGTCAGGACCTGTTCAACTACAGGCTGAGCAAGTGCTGAATGGTGGTGGAATGTGCATTTGGACGTTTAAAAGCGCGGTGGCGCAGCTTACTGACTCACTCAGACCTCAGCGAAAAGAATATCCCCATTGTTATTGCTGCTTGCTGTGCACTCCACAATATCTGTGAGAGTAAGGGGGAGACATTTATGGCAGGGTGGGAGGTTGAGGCACATCGCCTGGCCGCTGATTACGCGCAGCCAGACACCATGGCGGTTAGAAGAGCACAGCAAGGCGCAGTGCGCATCAGAGAAGCTTTGAAAACGAGTTTTGTGACTGGCCAGGCTATGGTGTGAAACTTCTGTTTGTTCCCCCTTGATGAACCCTCCGCCCCACCCCC